TAATTTTGACCTCATCTCATATATATCTATATCTACATCTATTGAATGTCTTCTGTACCTGTTTATGTATTTCCTTAAGGGGTCTAGGGTTTAGGGTGGATGTGGTTGAGGGAAGCCTCATGGCAGCGAAGGATGCAAGGGCTTGCTTTTCGTTCGCTCAGGGCCAAGCTTCTTTTCGAGGGCTGGGCTTGCAACGCATGAAGGGGTGTTGCTTTTGGCAGCGGCGGGGTGTGGGATTTAGGTTGAGGGCTGAGGGTCAAAGAGATATCTAACATTTGTAGTGCTCCAGGCTGGTAGGTCTTCGCGTGCTAACAGAAGTTCCAGTGCATAGGATGCTCAGGTTTCACTGCTCGTGTACAGTTTACAAGACCTCTCAGGTTTCGGCGAGGGTCCACGTTAGTTGTCTGTGGTATCAATACTATGATACTCCTGCGTAGGACTAACCATACTCACATATAGATGGATAGAGAGATACAGTAGATAGAGAGAGAGGTAGTACTTTCACGGTCTGGATAGGCAGTAAATAATAAATCTTTCCCGACGTGTTCCGCATTGATGCTCTGGTGTCCAGCGGCTTGCAGAGGCCTTTCAAGGTCTCAACAAATCCGAGGGTGCATTAACGATGCGACTCCAGGTTGAATAATCGACAGTAGCACCGCACCACAGAAAGTCCAAGTCTGAGGTCTTTTTCGTCCCGCAGCGCAGGACGGGGGTCAAATGATGCTGCTTCGCAGCTAGCAAACCGAGATACCTTCTTGCCCGAAGAACAAGCTTTGGTCGCAACAGAAAACCCCGACAGGCGCCTACGGTGAGGGACGAGGACAGGCTTTTGGGGCATGACAAGAGTTCCAAAAGGGTATTGAGTTCTAGGGTGATCAGGTGAACAGTGGAGGCCTTACATTATGATCCTGAAAAGCACATAGGCGATGCAATCGCAGGTGTAGGTAGGACGAGAAACATAAAGACACAGGGAGAAACGTGATGAAACATCTATCGACGCTTTCGCGAACTGCCCTGAGGAGCGCTCGAGAACCCTACGGACCATGGTCTTTCCTGGAATTTAGTGTCTACATATGCTTCGGGCATATGGCAACACAGACCCTGAGCCGTAGCCCTAGTCCAAGTCCTTAATGCTGTAATCCGGGCTTTGGGGCATCCCTCGGTTGTTCGTCACGCCTCTTGGACGACGCACACCGTTCCTCTCTGGCTTCCAAGGGATTTGGGCGTTGAGGCTTCGGATTCTGACTAAAGAACCTGCAACCCCAAAATGGACCTGGGGGGCTTTTCCAAAAGGACATGTCGACCTGAAGATCGACAAGTCGTGCCACAGCCAATAACCCCTAACCTCCAGGTTTTCTCAATGTAGCCTCGTGTTTCATGAACCCAGCTCCCGTCTCAGCCCAAACCAACAGCCCGACAGGTCCAACCCACATCCCAGAAAGTTAAGATGCTAGTGAGGCAGGCTCCATGATCTCCATGCCAAATTCTGCAAACAGAAACAATAAACCTTTTCAAACACCTAAATCCCCTCAGCACAAAACACTATCGGATAAGCGCACACGCCGAAAAAACTCTCCAACTCCCCCGAGGGCTTTGAACCCCCGAGAGCCAGAGCCTCTGCAGAGGGCCCAGAGATGCCGGGGCAAGGGGGAGGAGTCAAAGGCGCTTGGCGCTTGGGTTCCAGAAAGGTCAAGGATTTTGCTTCGAGGTTTCACGGAGTTCTAGGGTTTCGGGCCTCGGGTTTGGAGCTTGGGGGCAGACTAGGGGTCAGGGTTTGGGTGAGTAGTTCGGATGTTGGGCTTTAGGGTTTGAGTTGTACGACCCTGTTGGATACCTCTTTCAGAGAATCGAACTTGCATTACTTACCCAGGCAAGCAGTAAACCTGTCACCCCCGAGCAGAATGAGCTCACCGTTCCGGGCAGATCACGACCCTGATGCTCTCCTATGCCTTGTCACTATCTACATAGACGTTACATCTACAGACGGCAGATCCCACAGCAGGTAATGCTTTTCTGGAAAGATTAGATACTTTAAAGCTCGGTCTCTGGTTCTTCAGCTGCAGCTGCTGGACAAAAATGCAAGCCACATGCATTAGATGTAAGCGGCAACGCCCCTATTTGGCGAACTGCACCGCGATAAAATCATCATCCCCGGCGAAACCTGCTAAAACGAATCTTGCCTTATGATACTCCCCAAAGTAAGATTCGAAGCCGTCTGCAAGGAATTTTGACAAGTAGCATGCACTGGGATGTTCCGACGACTGCGAAAACATGCGATCCATGCAACATCCTAAACCTGAAGCCCTTCTTTACCCCTCCAACTTCTCTCCGGGGTCCCTTAGAAAGCCCTGCACCTCTAGCAAAACTCTGAACCCATGAAGCCTATCAACCTCAAAGAGCGCAGCACTGGAAAACTGAAAGAGTACTCAGAAAGCGTCCCTGCCGGGACTGCTCTCCCGTTGTGTATCGTTAGCGTCTGAGACATGGCGGTTTCCGATACCACAGAGCCCACAACACCGACCCAAAGTACACCCAAAAAAGGAAAAAACAATCTATGAATCACCCCGGATCAGATTGATTTCCTGTTTGACTACATCCAGGGATGCCTGACTCGTAATTCCTCGAGATGTTGGTTGCCTTTCAACGATATCACTGCTCGTGAACCGGTCATAGCAAATAGCAAAGAGGAGTTCGGTAAGTAGGCTGAGATTAGGACTTGGGGCTTCGGGGAATGTGAAGCATAACATGGATTCCACAATGCCCAGTAAGCAAGCGAGTGAAGGGAAGAGTTCAGTTTGTGCCTGCTGCTTTCTATTGAGCCCACTCTGCCTCCTCATGTATTTGTTCATAAAGCGTAAGCTGCTTGAAAGTCATCTCGTTTCAGCTGCGACCCCAGCAGTCACAATCGATGGTCCGATCGTTTCAGGGTTTGGGTCAGCTTAGTTTTGCCAGGGGCTGATGGTCTGCCAGTGCCTGCGCACTGGCTTCGTGGCTTCAGCGCCGAGGCCACGATTGGCTGTACAAACTAGACATGCTGGTGCCAGCACTTCAGAAGCTACTCGAAATCATCGATATCAGAAAAACCCGATTGGGGTTCTTCGGGAAAGCGGAGTTCTCTAGACTAGTAGGGTCCTTATCGGAAGACTGTGGCGCACCATTCTCTCGAGAACTCCCATGAGGCGGCAGATCGCGCCCAGCCGAGCGGGCTACCTGCAAGCGAGTCGAGATAGGCACACTGAAATCTCCTAAAAGCACAAGCCCTTAAAGCCAAACCTTCACTCCTAAACCAAAAATTCCTAAATCCTAAACCCCTAAACCCGGAACCCCTGAACCCTGAAGCCCGGAGTGGTAAGACCATGTGCACAAACTGAAAACCGATGAGTTCACACCAAACATACCTACACTAGTCCCTGGCAGTGACGCGAATCAGTTCGGAGTTTAAGGGTTCAAGGCCGGGGGTTTAGGGTTAGCAGGTTATAGGATTATAGGGTTTAGGAAGTTTAGGGCTAAAGGTTTACGATAAGAGTAGTTCGATTTCATGACCAGCCTGCGCCGTCGTTGGCTCCAGCTCCTGTGGCGAGCGCCATCGAATACATACTCAATGCCGGGCTTTTTCGATGCAACATGCACATTGCAACTGGGTCTTAGGGGTAGCTTCTAGTCTAATTATCTAGAGCGGTACTGTTGCCTTGAACCCGCATGCAACGCTTATAAAGCCTGAAAGAAACCCTTATTGAAACCCCTGAAACGCTTCTGCACTAAAGCCTCATAACATCCTAACCCTAGACCCTAAACTACAGCTTACCGTGCTCCTAAACCCCAACACCCTAAGCATCCCTAAGCTATACTGCATTCCTACCCCAGACCCCTAAAACCCCATACCTGAACCCCTGAGCCCTAAACCCTAATCCCGGACCAAGGCAGCTGGGCAAGAGCCCACTTAAATCCCGGGTCGGTCTTTGGAGGCTCCGGTGTCGCCGGGGGCTTCGGAAAGTCCTCGACACGGGCTCGTACATGGGACTCTTGCAATTCGCCCAAAGCGTCCAAGTAACGGTATAGTATATACTTTGGGGGGCACCAATAGCTCAGCTACCCAGAACCTACTATATTGGTACTTGGACCCATTGCGTTTCTATGCAGTTTGATTGTCCAAGAGGACGGGGTATAGCTTGCTCATGTCCAACAGATTTGGTTGCATGTGTTTGTTGGTCTTTCTTGCTTCGTAAGGGTCTTCTCTTGGAGGTTGTAGGGTTTGTAGGGTTTCTACAAAGGGCTCATGGGATTCCGATATTGGAGGCTCTGGTTTGAGGGGTCTTAATGCATTTCGGGGCCCCGCGATGTCAGAGCTCTATATTTTGGGTCCCTTGTCTTTTACTGAAACTCCGTTGTCAACCTGCCATATGGGTGCCCTTCAACGTGATCTAAACCAACTTAAGACGCCGCTGAACCCCAAACCCTAAACTCTGAAGCCTGAACTTGACCAAAAGAAGTTTGCCGAGAGGCTGCTCCCAGAACGATGAGAGAAGCCTCGTAGTCGCGGGGTCTTGGGGTTTTCCGGAGGAAGGCTCTGAGGAGACAGGGCCCAAACGTCGAAGCGCTGGGGTTTAGGCAACATGGCATATGGTTCAGCCCCAGACGCGAAACCCTAGGCAAAACGGCATGTTTGTGGGGCTTTAGGCCTTCCGTATGCTTGCGAAGCCTCTAGGGCGAAGGGCTTCGGGGTTTAAGGATTGTGAAATCCGGTTTACCCTGTACACCCATAGTAAACATGTTACTCTTCAGAGCCCTTCAGTCCACCATGCTACAATACAAAGACAAAGAAACAACTAAAGGGACACAACCAACAAAAACAACAAGTTCAAGTTCAAGCCCACACTGACGCAGGAGGATTCGGTGTACTTACCCAGGGCTTTATGGTTTAGGGGTTTTCAGCGCATGCGTTACGAGTTCAGGGTTTGCGCGGAAAACGTGCAGACTTCAGGCAAGTTGCACCCTTCGACTTTTCCGCCACCGCCGGCACCTTCTCGGCAGGCTTCTCCGCACGCGGAGTAACGGCCTCGTGCTACTTCCAGCGTTTTGCCTGTGTTTGTTATGCAGTTACACAGAACGTCTGTACAGCAGCTTCCGGAATCGCATGTCGGAGACGAGAAGCTTCTGTGGCTCAAGTTCCGTACCCGGACCCACCAACGTGCCTAGACGAAGCGTGCACTTGAACCAAGGTGGGCTATGAGGTGATAGTTTATAGGTGCAAAGATGCTGCGGCAGGCACGAAGACCAGCACACAGTCGCGACGGTGCTAAGTCGAGTACTGACAACACCAAGGGAAGCTAAACAGATAGTCTTTCCACACCATCGTTATCAATATACAGAGCAGCATCATCGTTGAATCATTATTCCCGTCGTCATCTTTACCATCTTCTAGAAGAACATGCGGCAGAAATCGCTCTGAGAAACACAGAAGACAAAAGTTGACGAAAGCCCGGCAAACCGTTGCTAGCACGGAAGCGCAGAGTTTCAAGAGTTTGGCGCCTCGGACGCGCATATACCGATAGTCTTCCGCGGGAGCGGCACAAAAACCTCCACGCTTGAGGTGCTAAAATCGGCGGTGGCACCGGTGCTCGTACGCGGCATGGCTTCAAGGTACGAGTGTTCGGAGATTCACTGCGCCTTTGGTCCACGTTCTCCACTTCTAAACGCCAGCTTTTAGATTTCCATTCTCCATTTCGGCTTCTCGCCAGGAGCCCCGGCTGGCAGCGTGCTCCTTTCTGAAAGTTGGCGGTGCTGCCCTACAGAACTCAGAACGTGAAGGCTTTGAGGTTTCTTCGATTTTGGGGTAGAGCAAAGATCGTTTTCTCTAGGGTGAGAACAGGGCTCCTTGATGTGATATCGTACGACAGGGTCGGCGCGGGTCATGACTGCACACTGCTCCTTAAATCCTTGCCTGCTCAGGATGCTGCGTCCGACGTGGGGCTCGGGTTGCGGGCCAAGGTCCGAGAACCAGACTAGGGTGAGCCGTCCAGGGTTTAGGGCGTGTAGGGTTTAGGCCCACGGGCCTTCTAGGGCTTGGCTTTGCGTGCTTAGATAGATGTCAGTTCTCTCACCGGTCCAGAAATCTCTTCAAACTCCGAGCCCACGAAAACCACACTGTCCAGTCTTGCCTGTTTAACGGAGCCATTAAGGGATCTGTAGGACCTCAACATTGCAGGTTGGAATGGTGCTCTGTATTGCCCGTTATTACGATTTATGTCATCGGCAGACTCACAAAGATACCAGCGTAGGTCCCCAAACAGAAATAGAGAACCACGATGACCACGGAGACCACGACGACGAAGATGGCCACGACCACCAGGACCACCAGGACCACCACGACGACCGGACGATCTCGAGACCACCGCGAAACCGGGAGACCACCAGAAGACCCACCATAGGAGGACGGAATGGTGTCCTCCGCGCATCAGCATGTTTCAGAAATGCTCGCTCAGGGAGAGCAGGCATTGGCGGCGGCGGCGTTACCAACTCCGCTTTTTCCCTGGAGTTTCGGGTTGAAGGGCGGCAGGGTTCATAAAGGCTTATGGGCTAAGGTTTAGTTCTCCTTGTTTTGCAGATTGATTGTAGATTATCGGGGTACTTGACCGTAAAGGCTCATTCCATGTACTTGTGAAAGCAAGTGGAGTTTGGGAGAAATGCAACAGAGGCTGCATCCTCCCCATATGCCTTAGGGAGGAGCTTCAGCTTAGGCATGAGGACGGGCCTTGAGGTTCAGAAGTTAGCATCAATCCATCCATCCGTCCATCCATCCAGCCAGACTCAGTGTCCTATATGGCCAAGACCCGAACAAAGCAACCCAAAGCCATGCCAGCAAACCTGGCCGTCGTGATTGTTGACATTGATGTAGTCATTCAACATCTTCCTCATACTTGTCGCCCCAACCCAAATTTTCAACCAACCTCTGCATGCCAAACTCTGAACGCCTAAACTCTGAACTCTACTTTGGAGGTGCGAGCTTCCTTGCTGCATTTGGGATTTCAAAGCATGCTGTTGCGTTGAATTCCAATTGTTAATGCTTTGGGCTTGAGGCGTGGGGTTAAGGTTTAGGGGGCGGCATGCTTCTGTGACTTTCGGTTTGAGGGCCTCGGGAATGGAGCAAGTGAGTTTGGGCTTGCAGGCTGCATGAGCCACAAACCTCCCTCAACCCAACTCTTAACTGCTCGTTCCGCTGCCCTCGCCTCTGCTGATAGTGGCAATGGCGACAGCAGCAGCAAAAAGTACGATTTCATGATAGTGGCACTAATGTTTCAGACGCAGCACCGAGCACACAAGTACTGGTCGTGATGACGGTAGTGGTGACAGACTGAGCAAACCGAACATGTCGATAAACAATCGAAGTTGCAGCATACTACGACTGCAGTTGACTGACCGAAAAAGGCTTGATCAGAGTATCCCTGCAGCCGTAAAGCATAGACGGCACCAAGACCTGCAAAGCCGCGCCCTACACCCGAACCCGAGACTCGCACTGTAAACTCCGAACCTCTCCGAACCTCTCCGAAGCTCCACTGCCCGCACTGGTCCAGGCCTCACCAAAATAGGCGTCGGGCCCCCGAACTGCAGCGCAATTTCGCCGAGGTGGAAGGGGCGATGTACCCTCAGCTTGCAGGGTTGAAAGCTTAGTCAGTATATACTGCTTCTATATTACACCGCTGTAGGGGTTTAGGACATAAGGCTCAACTTCACGATGCAAAACTTTCTGAAGCTTCAGGAGAACCTGGCATTTTCAGAAGGGCGACACCCTCGCCGGCAAGACAGTTGTGTTAGACTCCAGAGACCAGCGTGGGACCTTCAGGGTCCTGGATGGGCAGCATAGAGTTGCCACTGAGGTTCAAGGTGTTAACAGCGTCTGTCGGCTGAAAGCTTCGAAAGCAGAACGGCTCCGAAAACTGCTTTGTGGTATTGAGGTCATATACTACGATGTATATGTAGGATCTCGAGTGGCGGGGGCCGTACGGATTTGTGTTCAGGTGTTGAGGGCGGTTCAATTAGGCCCACAGTGCTGCGCCACCGTGGGGAGTTTTCCTTGTCCCGATACATCGGCAAGAATGTCAGCCAAAGCTCATGGAGACGAGAGGATATGCTCAGCACATTCTTCACAGCTACAACATGTGCAACACACCATGAGCTTCAGCTGACATTATTGTCACGTGTCGATGGTGCATTACCTCATGCTGTACAGCAGCTCGGCCACCATAGTCCGGGTGTCGCCAGGTCACAGCTACGACAGACCCATCGACTGAAGTAGCAGCAAGAGCCGTTTCTTGATGTGCCATGTTCTTCAGCTGGCCCTGCACAGCAGTACTGACACTGCCACACTCCCGGTGTCCAGGTCACGACAGATCAGTCGACAGAAAGAACAGCAAAACACGCCTTGATGCTTGGATTCCACGATCACCACCACGATGGTATTTTGCGCGGGTCACGATTCGACAATAGTGGCCACGAAAGCACTGCGGGCTGCTTTGATGTGCTGCGCATGCTTCAGCTCATCGTGCAGAGCACTGGTGCCACCATCACTGCAGGGATCCCCCTAGGTCACGACCGACCACTGTTAGCAAAAACACGTGAAGACGCTGGGACATGGTGCACGTTCTTCAGCTCATGTCTCATCCTGGCGAGAGCTGGTGATCATAACAGCTTGTAAAGTTTAGCATTGGACGGTCGAAGTCTGGAATCTTGCAAAAGGCGAATGCACAGCAAAATAGCCACACAACACAGCGATGCTCGCACGGGCGTCGGTGTGTCCTTGCAGTGTCCGTGTGCATTCTCCAGTGATGAGACTCCAGACTTTAAGGATGTCCTCTGCATCAGAAGCAGCACTTGCCAGTGCTTGAGGGCTTCGGGTTGAGCGGGATGCTCAGGCAAGATGGAAGCCTAAATAATAAAACTACGCACTTGATGGTTTCACTATAGAGGAAAAGAAGGTTACTAAATATTAAACATATGGTCCGTTGTAGCCTTTAGTAATAGTACCGAGTTGTCGGTAGAAAGATGTTGAGGATTTATGGGCTTTGCTGAGAGGTCGAGAATCCCCAGAACCGAAGGTTGCTGCTGAGACTGAGCGAAGACCCCTTGGATCGAGTCCTCATGTTGCAACCCAGAACGACGACAACTAGTTTGGACTGCAAGGCATAGTAATGCATGCCTCACACATTCCCAAAGGTCTAGAAAAGCCGGGCAACTTGTACAGCTGTTCGTACGTCTGCTGAAGCCTCGGCTACCCGCCGGCCGCTTGGGAAGAAATCCAAACACTGCGACTTCGAGTTAGGGAGGTTCGGTTTAGGGTTAAGGGTCGTTTCTGCCTTGTCTGTGCTTCGTGGGTCGGGCTTGATTTTGTTGGGGACGTAGGCGGCTTCGCAGGTTTTTAAAGTGGGCAATACGAAGGCAGTTTCGAAGCAGGGTAGCTGGCTTCCTTGTCCATGCCACCTTCATACTCGTTGTCACTGCAACACTACTATACTGGTAATCCCTATGTGTATGGCTCTTATTCTAGATGGAATGTTCGGTGCTTGCTCACCGCATACATGGCTCAGATTTTGTCTGTTCATGCACATGCGGCGAATAGTTTAACATTGAGAATGGAGCTTTAGCAAGGAACCCGAAGTAGTAGTATTACTAGTTACACGGGTTTCTACATCACGTGTAAACGCTCCGGCGATTTAGGGTCCGGTGTCTGCTTGGAGGAGCACCAGACTTAGTAGGTAGGTTGGGGTGCGTGCCTCGATGTTTCAGGGCTTGGGATTGTGGGATTAAACTGATGTTGTTGTCGGGCTCCGGGCGTAGCCGTTTAGGGCATATGTAGGCTCTTGGGTGTTGGGAGGATGGTAAGGATGCATAAGATTTCTTTGTATCGGGGATCAACATCAGTTTCGACTCTTCCTGAGGCGAAGAATAAAGGCAGAACGGAAAGCCCAGCAAATTCCCGCTTTTTTGGGCGTGCAACAAATCCAACCGACGGCTGCGTCCGTCCCGCACGTCGGGGTCCTGCCTGCCATCTGTTTGCCTTGGCATCGGCTTCAATCTATTTTGGGGTACCGGGTTCAGGCTTCAAGGTTTAGGGCTTCGGGTTCAGGGTTTCTGGCGGCAGGCTAGGGGTCTGGAAACACGTGGGTTTAGGATTTCGGGTTTGGTGCTCAGGGTTTGCACGATGCTCCTTGGCATGAATTTTTGAAGCCAGAGAGCCTGGGTATAGAGCATATCAAACCTTGTGGTCTGGGGTTTCGGCGACTGATACTCAGGTCGCAGGGAAGAGGCCAGGCAATGGAGCAGTCTTCAGAAAGGTTGAAGCCTCCCAGAGACCGTGAATTCTAAAATCGGACATCACCAGAAACTCCGAGTGCCAACACTGGAAAGGCCCATCGCGGCAGCAGCCGACTATCCGACTGCGAATCCCGACTCAAGAACCGCGAAGCGCTACACCACCTCTCAGTCTTTAAACACGGATAGGCATGAACACGCGCCACAGACCTTCGAAAAACAGGTTCCGCTTTGGTTGTCATTGTGATAAGTCACGGGGATCCTTTGTTTGATGAGAATCAGAGCCCCAAGCCCTTGAACCCTCGACCCTCAAGTTTTACAAAACCCCAAACCCTCAAGCTTAACAGTAAACCCAGCATCTACTACCCTAAGTGGCCGGGGCCACCAGAACCCCAATAGCTTGACTTCTAGAAATTCCGATGCCTGCCGGTCCATAGCCCCACATTCACAAACCACAAGAGCAGTTATAGCAGTTATAATTACGATAGCAGTCATAATGTTAGTGAAACAGTAAAAGTAAAAGTCATAAAACATGTTCATGATAATAATCCAAGCCAAAATAGCCATGATAGCGATAAGAGTAAACCACGTAAACACATTAATCGTAGTCATGCACCCCTAAGCCCTAAGCCTGAAGACAGAGATACTCAAAAAAGAGCCTGCTACCACCACAAGCAGTGGAAGCTGTCTTTGACGGACATATACTAATGTCTATATCACCATTAGTTATATCTTCGAATGCCAAATAATGATACTGCTGTTACTAATGCAAAGACCAATACACAAAGACGAATACCAATACAAAGACCAAGCCTAATGCTGATACTGGTACTATTGCTACTGCTTTGGACTGCTGGTGTTTCCGTTTGGGGCCTGCCAGGCTGAGAATGCTTGTGGCTAAGACGGCGGGTCTATAGGCCCTATGCCCTTGTTAGGCCCTGGACCCTAAACGCATGCCATTTTAGGCGGAGCTTCGAAGTGGAATTGCTGCCCGTTTGCCGATGGCTGCGTCGTCCTCTGCCTCGGTTCTGGTAGAGCCTGCATGCAGTTCTTCTGTTTTGTCTTGAAAGAGGGGCTGTGAGGTTTTTCTTTAGTGAGCTCTTCTCTCCAGTCGGCAAACTCTGGCTTGAATCAGGAAGGGTCCCTTTCGACAAGGTTTAGCAGGGTGTTGCATGGGGCTTTCGGTGAAAAAGCGAAGGGGTTGATTTAGGGTTCCTTACCGGGTTGCTCAGGGTTTTCGAAAGGTCTCTTGGTGCCTGTTTTGGGCATCCGACTATCAAGATCCTACTCTTTTGGATCTCTGTTGGGATCCCATTCTATATACACTATGACTGTCCCCTGTAGGATCTTGATTGAGAACTGGGGGCTCTAGTCTAAGACTCTATTTCTCCAAATGGGTAGGACCCAAATCGTTTGGGATCACATTGAGAATCCACGGAAGAAGACTTGCGGCCTCTTTGATCAGATTCGTAAATTCCTGCTGGACGCACGTTAACTGTTTCGGGTGCGAGGTTTAGGGCTCGGGTACATTGGAAGTATACTACGGTGTATTAGGGTATAATCGAGTACACTGGGGTTCAGGGCTGAAGCGCAAGGCCCCCTCCCCAAAGAAACAACAACTCAGACAAAGTTCCTTCTAAAGACAGCCTCAAATAAACCGCCAGTGAGGGCGCCCTTGCGAACCCTGAAACCCCTGATTGACAGGGCCCTTGAAGAGCCCATATAACCTTCCAGAATCCGAGACCCTGGAAGAGGCTTTAAACCCAAACCCTAAAACGTAAACCCCAGCTTCTGCTTCAACCCCCGACTCCTGGAAGAGCACGCCTCCAGAAGACAGATCTCCTCTTCGTCTCTTGCAAGGAGGTGCTGACTCTGCCTTTCAGGGCTTCGCGCAGAAACTCGCGTCGTCTTGTCGCCGCGTCTGCGCTCGACATCCACGGGCACCATCACGGATGCCACAGTGCAAGCACAAAGAAGAACCTCCGAATGCCCAAGTCTCTCTCTCTCTCTCTACCATTATGTATGTGAATACGTAATACATGTATAAATAGAGGTATGCGTGTATATATGTATATATGTATATATATATATATATATATATTTGTGTATGTATAATACGTATATCTATATATAATATAATATAATATAATATAATATAATATAATATAATATAATATAATATAATATAATATAATATAATATAATATAATATAATATAATATAATAAATATATAATATAATATAATATAATAAATAAATAAATATATATATATATATATATGTGTCTGTGTATATATTTGTTCACGCGAAAGCCTGCGATCAACGAGCTCTCAGAAAACCTGAGAGCTACGAAATGCAGTCCCTCACAACATCTTACAACCCTGTGGCACCTCGCAAAAGGACCTTTGGAAACTGCGACAGGCTCAAAGGAAGCAGACAGACAACCAGGCCTCAACAAGATGAGCCTTTCTTCCACAACCCGTCACCTTTTAATTCTAACCCTAAAACCTCAACCTTTGACCATGTAAGCCCCAAAACCATAACCAATCCGACAAACCTCCCCTTCCCGCCCACAGCTCACACGGAGAAGGTGCCTAGTGTTTGCTGCAGGTCGACCTGCCGTAGGGCATCAGGACGTAGAAAGCTCGTGCTATCGGGTTTCCAGAAGCCCTTTACTTTACTTTTAATGGCACAGAGCGTTTTTTGCTGTTCGTCAGTGTTGAAAAGAAGAGTCCCCCAAAAAAGGGGACGAGGTACCACTGCAGGACCTAGCTTGAAATTTGCTATGAGATTTTGAAGGGCTGGACCCCGACATGCCGGAGCATGATGTAACTTTGACCTGGTAAAGCCGCTACGAACCCTGAAGCCGTTGTTTGGTGGCGAACCCGCACTAAGCATTGATCAAAGTAAGGCGCTGCTGGCCGAAAGCTATTGGGGTTTTGTTGAAAGTCGCTTCTCCGTCCGCAAGCCGGATGCCTCTTGACAAACTTGTGGTCGCCACGAGCAACGACGTATCTGTAATCGGTTTCTGTGCGATGCATGGTTCGGGGTTTTGGATTTATCATGCATATTTCGGGATCAGCACAGTTGTCGGAATGCGTATCGGAACGCGTGTCGGAGTTGGTGCTGCTCCGCCCTGAACATTGGCCCACTTGGCAGTCTTGCTAAACAGGTCACAACACGCCCAAAACGACCATGCTTGCCCACATAACACCCCCTGCAAACAGCTGGGTGAATTGAAAGGAACTCCTGGCCTGAATGACCGAAACCCCTATATAAACCTATAATAAAGCATAACACCTAAGTCCTGAACCCGAAGCCCTCATCCACCCCGTGATATAAACTCCAAACACCCTAAAGCGCCAAAACAAGAACCCTTACACAAATCCTAAAACACTGCAAAAAGCACAAAGCTTGTGAGCCTCTTGGCCGAGCTCCACATCCCGGACGTCTCGCTCCACTTCCTGCACAGCTGCCTGCGAGCTGCGGGCTTTGGGCCGCAGTCGTGTTGTGAATGTTGGAGGGTGTTTAGGCTTCGACGGGCTTTAGGGTTTCGGGGTGAACATGCAGGGAGCCTGTGCGCTTCGACCAGGGTTTCGGGGTAAAGTCTGGAGCATCCATACTATGTTCAGTCATTCCTTGCGAAATGACAATTATGGCATAAAGCTTCTCCCACTACGACGACGACTACTACTGCCACCACCCGTCCCCCATGCCCC